AAGATGGGGTTTTTTATCATATTGCATGAAACTATCTCTCTACATCATGTCATCTTGCTTAAGGTGTTACTCTGTTTTTAACTTAATACTCTAGATGCATGCTGGATAGTGGTCGATGAGTGGAGTAACAGTAGTAGATGCAGGCAGGAGTCGGTCTACTTGTCTCGGACGTGATGCCTATATACATGATCATACCTAGATATTCTCATAACTATGCTCAATTCTGTCAATTGCTCAACAGTAATTTGTTCACCCACCATAGAATACTTATGCTCTTGAGAGAAGCTACTAGTGAAACCTATGGCCCCTGGGTCTCTTTCTCATCATATTAATCTCCATCACTTTATTATTGCTTTGCTTTTACTTTTCCTTTTACTTTTTACTTTGCATCTCTATGCCACAAATACCAAAAATATTATTTATCATCTCTATCGGATCTCACTTTCGTAAGTGGCCGTGAAGGGATTGACAACCCCTAAGCGCGTTGGTTGCGTTGAGCTATTGTTTTTATGTAGGTACGAGGGACTCGCGCGTAGCCTCCTACCGGATTGATACCTTGGTTCTCAAAAACTAAGGGAAATAATTACGCTACTTTGCTGCATCATCCTCTCCTCTTCGGGGAAATCCAACGCAGTGCTCAAGAGGTAGCAGTGCAATGTACAAGCAACATGATGCAAGACATGGCATGATATGCGAGATGTGATATGCAATACATATGCGTGCTCCAGAAGGAAAAGGATGAACAAGGCATTAACTTGGCAAACCAAGCATGCCGCTGGAAAGATGAGATGATTTCGGTCAAAATCGATATAAAGATCACCGGAATCGGATGCACGATTTGCAAATGGAAAGCAAAACAAGAATGTCATAATTCTGTGATTAACAGCACGATGCCATCTAGAATGCAACAAGAAACTACGCTACTGCACTCCAACATAGCAATGAAGCATATGGCAGTGATCTACTCAAGATGCTTGACAAAACATGAACACTAAGCTACGGCTAAATCACACCATAGCAGGTTCAAACAAGCATGGAAAAATGCAAAAGATATCAGCTTCATAGACTTAGTGAAAATACTAACATGCCAGGACTAACATCAGGAAGCCATGTTTAGAGCAAGCAAACAACATGCTACAGGAACATATAATAGCAAACAAAGGCATGGAATGAATCTACTAAATGCATAGAACAAAAGTCCCTTACTGATCATCAGCCAAAAAGGCACAGAAGATATGATGGCACCCATGTAAACATAGCAAGTTTTATTAACAGTTTCAGACTTAGCAGAAAACAGAGCATGGCATAAACAGAATTATGAAGGCATCTTTGTGAGCCCAATTCACTCAACACAAAGCCTTGCATAACAAAACAAGCATAGCATCAGCAAGATGACATGTACATGAAGCTAACCATGGCAATAGCAAGTTCATAGAATGCATGGATCAAGTACAACAACCATGGCAAAATTGATTAACATGTAAACAATCTGCCAGGAACATTTTATAGCAAAAGTAGAGCAAGAATAATACATGCTAGGGCACTCCATAATTGCAAACAAGGGCATGGATAGATAGAGAATAACCATATGTCCAAATCATACTCACTGAAGCAACTCAAAACAAGCATAGATCTCACTGTAGCATCATGTATACATGGCATAAAAATAAAAGCAGAGCAAGGACTTAGCAAAATCCTAAGTCCCTGAAATCAGCAATATCACGAAGGCTACTTTGCATGCTTGTGCTAGTCACCACAAAGATCACAATAAATACATGGCAAGCACCCCTGTAAAGATGGCATGGCATAGATCAAAACACATGTAGAGCTCATGCCCATATGCAGCACACAACAAATGTGACAAAAATGCCAAATCAACATAATCTGCTAAGTAACAGCAACTAACAATTTATAGCACTCTTGCATCAACGATTTGGGCAGCCAGATGAGCTCAAACAAGCATGCCACAATGGAATGAAATGAAGAGCATCTCCCAATAAACATTTTGATATATCATGCGCGCATGAAACAGAGCTATGGACAAGGAGTTATGATGCAATGAACAGGGGCATACAATGTTGCAGAAAAGGGACATAGTGGAAATATACCCCTCCGAAAAGTCAACGGGACGAGGATATCCGGGACGGAGAGATCCAGGGCACGGGGAGGCCGTTTGGTTCGCGGACGTGCTGGATCTGATCCATCTTCCATGGATCCGGCCGGCGAGGGTTCCGGCGACTCCGGCGAGAGCGCGAAAGCCGAGGTGGTCTCGGGGACGGGCGAGGTCGAGGGCGGCGATGCCCGTACTCCGGCAAGGCACCGCGAGAGGCTCCGGCGAGGTTGGCAAGAGTGCGGCGATGTCCGAACTCCGGTGATGGCCGGAGGCCACGAACGGCGGGGCGGCGCAGGAGCTCCCAGAGGCCGGATCTGGAGGGCACACGATGCGCCGACGGTGGGGAACCCGGCGAGTAGGGCTGGACCAAAAGCTCGTAACTCGCGAGCTTAATGATCGCTCGATAGTTTGGCTCGTTAAGCTCGTAGCTCGCTTCTTAATGAACAGAGCCAATCATTGATTTTAGCTCGTTAATCTTAACGAGCTTAACGAGCGAGCTAACGAGTTTCACGAGTAGCTCGTTAAGCTCGTTAGTAACAACACAACACATATTTTCATCTTACGTGACAAACTTTTGTATAGCACCTTAGCCCATCTATTCAATCTAATTAACATATAAGGCAACAAAGTACTGCATTTCTTTTTATAGTCACCATATTTAGTCTTGAAAACCACACCTACACATTCATCCTGTATATCATAACACATTATAATCTGTTAACGAGCACTCGTGAGCGCTCACAAGCTTAACGAGCTTCAAACGAGCCGAGCCGAGCAGGGTTTTCTGCTCGTTAATCTTAACGAGCTTAACGAGCCGAGCCTTAACGAGCACGAGCTTAACAAGTACGAGCTTAATGAGCCGAGCTGCTCGTTAGTCCACCCCTACCGGCGAGCGAAGGCGGCGGCGTCTCGGAGGCGGGGCCGTAGAGCAGCGCGCGGCGCAGTGGAGTAGGAGGCGCGGCGAGCTTCGACGGCGGTGGCGGAGGGCGCGCGAGGGCGGTGCCACTGCGGCTAGCGTGGGTGCGGACGGGCGGCGTGCGGCTCGGCCCAGATCGGCCCGGGGCGGGCCGGCCTCGGGCCCCGACGGGCCATGACGCAGTGGAGGGAGAGAGAGGCGCGGTGGAGGAAGAGAGAGAGAGGCGCGGTGGGGAGGCGACGTGGCGATGCGGGATTGGGCGTGGGGGCGGCGGTGCTGAGGTGGCGCGATGGGATTGGCCGGAGGGACGTGTCCGGCGGACATGTCCGGCGGCGCGAGGAGGAAGACACTAGGGTTTGGACTGCGATTTTGGACGGGACCTTTATATAGGTAGAAGGAGTTTGGAATATCCAAATGGAGTGTAGTTTTCGTCCATGCGATCGTGATCCGACGCCGGAGGACATGGAAGGGGTTTGGATGGGTTATTGGGTCGTTTTGGAGGGGTGTTGGGCTGCAACACAAAGAGGCCTTTTGCGGTTACCCAGTTAACCGTTGGAGCATCAAATGGACTCCAAATGACAGAAAATTTGACAGGCGGTCTACCGGTGGTGTACCAAGACCGCTTGGCAAAACTCGTTCCATTCCGAGAATGTTTAATACCCACACACGAAAAGAAACAAAAGGGGTACGCCGGGTGCAAGAGGGAGTGTTGGATTGCGAAATGGACAACGGGGAAAATGTTCGGATGCATGAGATGAACACGAATGCAAATGCGATGCACATGATGACATGATAAGAAATACATGACATGAACAAAATGCAAAATGAAAAACAAAACCCAACCACGAAGGAAAAAACATATCGCATCTCCGGAAAAGGTAAGAGTCGGAGTTACAAATATGGCAAGTTACATTCGGGGCGTTACATTGTCCATCCACCGCATAGGTACCATACGCCCCTACGGTCACCACGCCCGACAAGTGTTTGCTGAAATGCATGTGCTAAATTTTTTGTCCCTTCTTTGAAGCAATGGATTCGGACATGGAGTACATATACGAGCACTATATTGAGTCACCCGACGGCTGGTTCGACAAAGACTATACAGATGAAATGGCGATAATACAGACAGTCCTTGCAGATGTGGAGCGTGTGGAAGAGCATATTCTCAATTTCAATAGATCGATCAAGGGTCATCGAGTGCTCAATCGGGACAGGGTATGGGGCCATTTGACGTTGATGGATGACTACTTTGCCCCCATTGCTCTATTCGCTAACAATTTTTGCTCGCGCTTTCGGATGTGAAAAAATGTTTTTGATCGCCTCTACCATGACGTTCGGTCCTTTGATGACTACTTCATCTTACAGAAGGTGGCCATAGAAAGGATTGGATTTATTGGTTACCGTAAATGCAAAATTTCATGGCGTTTGGACGTTTGAGGAGCCCGTGGCAAAAAATTAACAAATTTGGCTTCTCAAAGAAACTTTCAAAAGGTGCACACTATAGACCCGATTTTGTTAATTTTACCCCAAGCTTCTGAAATGTCCAAACACCTTGAAATATGGCACGCTTCTAGAAAACATTATAAACTATTATGTGTAAAAGTTTCATATTGTTTGAAATTGTTTGCTATATTTTTGTATTTACTGTTCATCAGATGCAGATGAGGCCGGGCTCTGAATTGAATTTTCGATCATATTCAAAAATGTTCTGCTTAGTTTACCGTTCAGCTATTTTTATTTATCGTTTGCGATCTCAAGTTGTAGATTAAAAAATAAGTTTCGCACAACACAGCTCAACAACCTCAAACATAACCTCAATTGTTCGGCTAAGAAATCAAACAGACACACAAGTTGCATCTGCATGCATCCATCCTGGATGACCCATGGGACCTCATCCCCTCCTTATTTTTCCAAAACACATTCAGTGATGTCTCAAGAAAAATTAAAAAACAATGACTAAATGGTGCTGGCTCATTCCACCAAAGGTGCCATGCGGTAGAAGAAGGGAAGCCGGCAGGGTTCGCCATCTGAAACATGAAGAAGCCCTGCCTTTTCATACGACTCGACGCTGTCTGCCAGTGTATCCTCTAATTTCCTTGGTTTCCACCCCAAATTCTTCAGCTTATCCGAAGTCAGTGCACCTTTGTAATCCACGTCGACCATCCTGCAAACACCAAAAAATGGAGGTTAAAATCCCTCGTAAATCGACTCTAAGGCAAGCTATGGCATGACGTTGATACAATGGCACGTACTTGTCTGCATAACTGTAGCTTGGGTACATGCTCTTCATTATCTCCAGCAATTCCTTCAAGTCCATTTGGTCTAACGAGCATATGTACCTCTCATGTGGCCCCGCCTTGTTGTACAACAGGAGCAACGCGTCCGCTACGTCGCGGACGTCTACTATGGGCCAGAACTTGTTGTTCATCGTATCAGGGCCTCCTGCATCCAAGCAGTAAATCATATGCTCAGCATGTTGAACTTTGTTGGGCTGTGTGTTCGCAAGTTACACAGCAACAAATTGAAATTAAGACAAATCCCTAGCTTTTGTTTCAGTAGTACTGAATCTACCATGCACTTCCCAAAATATTGTTACCCTAGTGATAAATGCCAAGAACAACAGAGTTACAGAAAGCAAGAAAGAAATGTTGCATATTGCACTTGAATTAGGATTGAAACCTTTTATCATGTAGAGGAGGACCTTGCTGCTAGTGTTGAGCACCACATGCTGCAACAGAGGGCCGAAGACCAGACCAGGGCAGAATGTGATGACATGCAATCCGTTCTTCTCACCGTATTCCAGGGCTATTTCTTCAGCTTCAGTCTTCGCAAGCGAATACCAGCTCTGCCAACACAAACAAGTGTACATATTGTCGAGTTAGCGCTACCTCTCAGCTATCATCTCATCTTCAATTTAGAGCTCGCTAGCTAGTGCAATGATTAAGAAGATGTCCCTTTCTTTGCATAATAGGTAGATTTTAATCTCTTTGGAAACTTGGTGGTGGATGTACTATTGATCAGCAATTCCGAGTCCTCACCTTATTCTCCTTGCAGAACTCTTTGTCTGACCAACAGCTTTCATCTTTGACTTTATCTTCTGGCCAATCTGGATTGAAGCAAATACTGGCGGCAGATGAAACCAGAATGAGTTTCTCAACGTTCATAGCTGAGCAGGCCTTGAGTACATTCATGGTTCCCTTGACAGTAGGATCCATCATCTCTTTCTGCACAGTTGAGCAAGTTTATGAGTAACAGCAGAACAGCTAGCTTCTTAGTGAAAATAGAAGAACAAACAAACTAGTATTTTTTACCTTTGGGGGTAAACAAACTAGTATTACATGCACATGTATTTTTTTAAGAAATTTCTCTCAGTTGTACTAATTAACACCAATTCTCTACACCCCACCAAACAGCATACTCTCTCCATTCACTTTTGTAAGACGTTTTAGACATTTAAGACAACACCCAAAATAGTTCAATTTTAGTTGTCTAAAGCGTCTTACAAAAGTGAACAGAGGGAGTAGTTCATTTCCATTTACGCCACTCCGTTAATTTTTCATCCAAATATCTCCTTTAATTGTATATGAAGACTACTTGTAATGCAATTTCTACCATACCATGCAAAATATATACTAGTTCCACTTCCATCTTACCACTAAAACCTTTGGAACTTAAATTTCAGCTACTATAAAAAACGTTGGACAACAAAAATAGGACATGTTCAGGCCTTATGCAATAGTCATTTCGAACTCATTTTCTGGGCATCAAAATCCACTACACACAATTAATGTTAGGAAAAAACTGTAACGTAATTTGATGTAAATTTACTATTTACCAACTATCATATATCACAACCATAAACATTTCTATGGTGTTGTGGACGAGAAACTTAGGTCCGGATGGCAGCAAAGCCTAAGTAGAAGTGACAAGAATGCCGAAAGAAGTGATCAAGAATGAAGGGCCGATAAGCCCAAATCCAGATCATTTTTCTCTAGAGTTGATCAAACTTAAACACATTTGGCTTGGGACAAATCCAGAACTTCAATTAGGAGTATTTTGGAACGGATGTAGTATCTATAAAATTAGTCAACCGTAGAGCATGCTATATACAGCCGGTTTGGATGACGGTCCAATAATAGGATATGTGTGCAGACATGTTTTTCTATTTTTGCCGGTTGTGGCATTCTGTCCTGTAATTTTTACCTCTACATTTTCCGAATCTTTATTTGAAACTTGAATATCCGGTTTGCGTTAATAAATAGATGTGCACATCATGTGATGCAGAAGCCGGGGTACTCCTCCATTTCGAAAAAAAGTTTGACTTAGAATAAGCCGAACTTGTAGATCTCATAACTGAACAATTAACTCGTCCAATGCACTTCTTTCCGTCTAAGTTAATTTTTGTTTTCAGATCTGCTTGAGTCACTCGCATTAGTCCTCTTTGGAAGGGGAAGCTAGAAGTCCAGAACTACCTCCCACATTACTCCACTCCAGTGAGTGATAAAAGTACGACTAGGAGTACTCCTACACTGACAAGCTGGCCCAGGAGACAGGTGAACACTTGCCTCGGGGTCAACCATCTCCTGCTCGGGCACCGGAGTGGCGATGTGGAAGACGCCCTCGCAGCCGGCGAGCGCGGGCGTCACCGCGCCGTAGTCGAGCATGTCGGCCTTGAACACCCGCAGGTTCTCCCGAGCCCCATCCAGCTGCTCGAGGCACGCATTCTTCGGATCGCCTGGAAGACGAGCAAGAAGCAGGAGGTGAGCGTGCAGCCGTTACAGTGGCTACTAAGCTAGTGGCTACGTACGTGGGTCGCGGACGGTGGCGTTGACGGCGTAGCCCCGGGAGAGGAGCAGCTTGACGAGCCACGAGGCGATGTACCCGCCGCCGCCGGTCACGCACACGCGCGGCAGTGGCGGCGACGACGCCATCCCCGGTTGCCCTGTTGATATGTGGATGAAGAGCTTAAGAGCGAGAGGCACTGCACACAAGGTTCAGACAAGATGAATAGGAGATGGAAGACGGGAGACGGGGGAAATGCAGTTCGAGATTCCTCGTTGCTTTAAGGTTGCGGTAGATTCCTCAAAAAGAAAAAAAGTTGCGGTAGGTGGACGCATCTATGCACTTCACACAGCTCGCTCCACCCAGCCCGCTGACAAGGACGGCCCTCTCCTCCACGTGCAAGAGCAAGCACGCCCATCGAGATCGCCATGGATTAGATTAAACCAAGGTGATGAATTAAGTAATAATTGCAATTATTGGTGCTACAAATTAAATAAGTACGAACCGGACTGCAAGATGCAGAGACTGACCATGCTCTAGCAAAAGACCGGTTAATTGACAATGCCTTCAATCACAGGCAGGTCTGACCCAAGGGCGGTGCTAGCAGTACTACAACTGTCATTTCTGACACGATTTTCAATGCCATCCAACAACACGACGAGGAATCTTTCGGTATGGAATCTTATAGTAGAACGAACCTTCGCGCGATGTTCGATTGCATTGTTGGAGTAGACGTTGGATCTAAAGCCGAAGTGCCGAGCTGATCTGCAAAAACTTCGAGAATGAAAACAGGCTAAACTCGAGCGTTCAAAAAAAAAATGGTGCTCCAAAACTCAATGTTTTTCTCGGTTCATTTTTCTTTTGCTTTACTTTTTTAGGAAAAATTTCGATCTATTCATCTTCAATCATGGCAGTACGACGAATATCAGAAATAATAAAAATTACAGTCAGATCCGTAGACCACCTAGCAACGACTACAAGCACTGAAGCGAGCTGAAGGCGCGTTGTCATCATCGCCCTTCGCCGCCGGAGTCGGACACAACTTGTTGTAGTAGACAGTCGGGAAGTCGTCGTGCTAAGGCCCCATAGGACCAGCGCACCAACAACCGCCGCAGATGAAGAATAACATAGATTAGAAGGATTCAACCCGAAGACACGCGAATGTAGACGAACAACGACGAGATCCGAGCAAATTCATCAAAGATAGATCCGCCGGAGATACACCTCCACGGGCCCACCAACGGTGCTAGACGCACCGCCGGAACGGGAGCTAGGCGGGGAGACCTTTATTCCATCTTCAGGGAGCCGCCACCATCTCGTCTTCCTGAGCAGGACACAAACCCTAACAAAACTGAAAGAAACAACTAAAAATGGAGCCTTCCACCGGCCCTTAGCGAGATCCATCGCGCCCCCATGGCCCTAGGGCCACCGAAGAGGAGGCGGACCTGCGGCAGCACCGGCGGGAGGCAGAAACCCTAGCTCTTTTTGTGGACAAGGAGGAGGCGGTGTTTTTCTTTTCTTTACTAGTAACTGAAATGCATGTTTAGGAATTAGGAGTGGTGGCGTGGCTCCATTAGTTCATAGGTTGATGTCAATTAATCTTACATAGACAACAGTGTATTTTGATGAAGGTTGAATACCAATGGTGTTTTTACTGTAAAGTATATATGTATGGAAACAGTGTTAATATTCAACCTATTTTTCATAGACAACACATACGGAAAACAAAGGCTGCCGTCAAAAACAAAACAAAACTGGCAGGCTAGTAAAAAATATTGCTTTTTTTATCATCAGGAGGTAATTCATCATTTCTCTTTGTCTTGCCCGTTTACAACTTTGATTTGGCGCATGTTTGCAACTTTGATTTGGCACAAGATTCATGTTGTATATAATTTGCCTCAACCAACGAGTATATCAAAAAAAATTTGTCAACTAATTGGGTGTTATTCACCCAGAACTGAAGGGACTAGGATATTAGATTTGTTGTGTTGTGCTAAAGATGAAATTAGTTACAAATGGTTAAATGATTAGGATGTTATGCATCATCCACCATTGATGCTTTCTATATCAAAGGATATATAAAAAGTAGGGTATGTCTAGGATACATCTAAGCTGATGACCACTTTGTTTGTGGTCTATTTTTTGTTTTAGTTTTTTTATTTCTTATTGCTGCATTATATATTTGTGGAAACTTAGATATGACATCCTTAAAAAACGTTTAGATATGAATTAGACAAACTGTAAAAGGTAAATGTTGCGCCAGCATGACTACAATAGTCAAACACGGCACGACCCTGGTGCAACAAGTTTACAACTCGACTCGGACAAAAGAATAAGTCACTATTTATATGGCCAGGGAGAATCCCATCCAAGTGTCGCTGGACATCACAAACTCTCTTAAGCATCTACAGGATCCATGGCATCATACTATTGACCCGCAAAAAAATAATACTATTGACCAGTAGGATTTACTTGCTCATTTCTTACCCCTCAAAATAAATGCTCATTTCTTGTATACTAGGCATGCTCACAAGTGGGCTTCTTTCCAAGCCGAGGAAGAACAAGGTGCTAGTACTAGGCACGGCCTACAAGACGATCAATAGAATTTTCCAAATTCCACATGTGCTGTTAACTGTCATGCACAAATTTTCTCACAGTTTTTAAAATTTTAGATATGAATTTTCGCCAACTTACAAATACCTGTAGTTCACATGAACCCAAGAATTAGATCATAATCTTCCGCATAAATACTAGCCTCCCGTGGAGTGGACAGCTGCAATCCCATAAACAATTTTAAGTTTGGAACGTTTTCAAAGTCTGGAAACTGTAACAAGATCCACTCTACATTGACACTGCATTAATTAATCCCCTCGAAAACAGAAAGAAAAAAGGACTAAACTGGCACTGCATTTGGGCATGTATGCAGACAGGCACACAAGAACTCAAAACAGTGAGATCCCATTCTATTCTGTCGCGTGCTCTATTGGCAATGGACACTTGTTTTCAGCTGACAGAGAGCTGCATCCTCATCTGCTGAAATCGGCATTCGCCCTTCACTAGTCGATGGGCACTTCCACTTCCATCTTCAGGCCAGGGTGGTCGATGATCTGAAACCACGTCACAAAAGTAGTTCAGTTTCGCTTCACCACCAGCAGTACAGCACAAGAGCAATATAAAATCAAGAAATCCCATAGAACTGTAAATATAGTTTATATATGAGTAATGGTAGACACACTGGATAATACTACAACCGCAAAAGCTGTGCTATGAATCTTACCACAAAAGCTTTAATCATTTATGCCACTAGTTGTATTCTACTACTCAGTTTTGCCATTAGAAGTTACAACTGCTCAAAAATGACATCATTCCGTGAGATGCTTGCTCAAAATGCCGTTAGAGACCTAAAAATGCCATTGTTCCGTTAGATGTTTGCTAAAAATGTCATTAGATACCATTCTGTCAGGCCAAACCTGTTGACCATGTTCAACAACAACAACAACAACAAAGCCTTTAGTCCCAAACAAGTTGGGGTAGGCTAGAGGTGAAACCCATAAGATCTCGCAACCAACTCATGGTTCTGGCACATGGATAGCAAGCTTCCACGCACCCCTGTCCATAGCTAGTTCTTTGGTGATACTCCAATCCTTCAAATCTCTCTTTACGGACTCCTCCCATGTCAAATTCGGTCTACCCCGACCTCTCTTGACATTATCCGCACGCTTTAGCTGTCCGCTATGCACTGGAGCTTCTGGAGGCCTGCGCTGAATATGCCCAAACCATCTCAGACGATATTGGACAAGTTTCTCTTCAATGGGTGCTACCCCAACTCTATCTCGTATATCATCATCCCGGACTCGATCCTTCCTCGTATGGCCACACATCCATCTCAACATGTGCATCTCCGCCACACCAAACTGTTGAACATGTCGCCTTTTAGTCGGCCAACACTCAGCGCCATACAACATTGCGGGTCGAGCCACCGCCCTGTAGAACTTGCATTTTAGCTTTTGTGGCACTCTCACCAAAATACCCCTAGACCCACATGTCAGCTCCATCTATCTCACAATAATAAGTGTTTGCCTCACCTTTCAGGAGTAAGCAAGCGAATAATATTAGAGGAAAATAAGAACGATGTTCGGGATCGAGTGGGACCAACACTTAATCGTACTGAGATAGAGGGAGAGCTGAAATGTGGGTCCATGGGTATTTTGGTCATATAACCTGTTATACGGGCTTTGAGCTGACAGTAATGGTGTCTAGTGGCATTTTTTAGCAAGCGCCTAAATGAGTGATGGCATTTTTTAGCAGGTTAAACTTCTAGTGGCAAAACTGTGTAGTGGGACACAACTAGTGGCATAAATGATAAAAGTCAGATGAATCTAAACATAAAAACTATGATTTTTTCAATTTAGATGAATTTGCCACAGCATTACAGCTATGATAAGAAAGGTAAGCAATGTTTAGCTTTGTACCGTCACAAAATCTTCTAATGATAGAGTGGAATCCCGTGTGTACCCAGCTTCTTCCAACACCTTTGTTAGTACTTGCTGAAGGGCATCAATTCAAATCGTGTTACTTTGAGATTGTACTGCTGTACATAAGCTTGAACAAAACATTATACATTATGCAAAGCAATACTTACATGTTAAAACAAAAGCAATAGTGAAACTATTCCCTACGAATATTCAGAGACAACACAGATTTCAGGCTAAGTCTTGTGGATGTACAAATATCATAAAATCTGGAAATTGTTGAGCTTTTAGATATATAAGGATGTGTTCCACACAAACTATATTTTTTAACTAATGGTAAAGAGCTCTCTTCAACTGTGTACTATCAACTTAAAAATTTGCACTGCGAAGGAAGCTACTCTGACTCTCTGAGCATTTGCTGCTATGAAGAAACCTACAATTTAGTGTCAGGGGCCCCTTCATTTTGGAAACAAGTTATGCACACTTGATGTGTTTATGATGGCAGGATAATAATTATTTGAAGAGGAAACAAGGGAACAGTCACATGTGTTCTTGTTGATTCAGTAAGCATACTTGCAAGTGAATGTACTATGCAATGAAATACAGGATTGAATCAAATGAGAACCTCTCTTTGTTGCTCTGACATGGATGAGCCCGTTAGGTCCCGTAAAACCTCTACCAGGTCCTTGAAGCTTACTTTCCCCTTGCCATCAATGTCATACACCTTAAATATGACTGCTCAATGAAACACAGACCAAATCAGCACCGGACAAGCAAATTAATCATCATAAGGATCAGAGAGACCCAAACCAACATATACTCCTTTCAAGATAGACAGCAAAAAGAGGAAAAGAAACATGATGACTCGATGAGCATAACACTCAATCTTTTGCTGAAGGCTGGCCCTTGCGCTGAAGGTAGAGAGAAAAGAAACAAATTCCTTGAAGTTCAATCCATCAACCATACGTAGCAACCTCTGCAAATAGAAGAAATGAAAGCTCAAAATCAGTCTCACGTCTATAGTTGAACTGCTGAATCTCCTAAATATAGCAAAAACAGTCAGACTGAGTAA